GACCAATTTCTAATTTAATTAATGTTAGTATGTGCTCAGCCCCTTTAGGCTAAACCAGCATTTCCCAAAGTGTGGTCTGTGGCCCAGTACTGGTCCTTAGAAAAATTATCATGCACGATCCTATTGTGTGATGGGGTTGCAGCACCCCGCACTGCTGAGCAGCCCTCTTGGGAAGAGCCCGCCGCTATGGTGTTTCTGCTGGGCATGCTCCCAGGCGGTGGGGCTAGATCTGGCCGGCGCTAGTGTAACCACCACCAGGCGGATTGGAACCAGGGACCTCTGAAGCAGAGTATAGGAGCCTTTACCCTCTGAGCTAAAAGCCAGCTGCCTCCCAGCCCATGCTGTAGAAGTCTCTTGGTCTTAACTGTTACTGTAGTCTAGGTGCCGCTGTATGGTAACCACACTAGGTGTGTGGGTTACACTAGGACCCAGGGAGAAGGCCAGGCACTGTGTGCACTGACGCAAAACGCCCAGTGCCAGACACAGCCGGAGGAGCCGGTGCCAGTTGATAAAGCGGCCAGGATTAGGGTTGGGGGGGCAGAACAACCTGCTGGGCGTACCGACACAAAACACCTGGCCCAGGGATTGAGGCCAGGAGAGGAGGGGTGGAACAATCCGCCAGACAGGTAGGGCCAGCGACACAATTTATTTGCATATTTATCATTTACTTAATGAATATGCAAATAAATGTTACCAGTCCTCCAAAAGCTTGTGAATGGGTTTACTGGTCCCCAGTATAAAAAAGATTGGGAACCACTGGGCTAAGCCATGGCTATCTGGCTCCTTCAGGAGCCCTCTGCAGGAAACGTATAAAACCCTAGCTTCAAAGTAAGAGTTCACATGTGTTACAAAACAAGAGTGTGGAATGGTTTTCCTTTGAGGGGAAGCTAAAAAAACCAACACACCTAATGCTGTTCATCTTAGAAGAGAGATGACTGTGGGGGCATGATAAATGTCTATAATATTACAAATGCTTTGGAAAAAGTGAATCAAGAAGTGTGTGTCTAACTGTGACAACAAGTATTGGATTTTTCAACCACAGCCCTTGGAAGGTTTAATATCAAATATAAGGCAAAGAACAACCAGTACTTCTACTAACAACCAGTTTTCTCCTTTAACCAGTCATATTAACATGTCAAATCATCTTAATGCCTCTGTAAATTATGCTGTACTAAAATAATCTTTGCCCTTCTGTCAACTGTGCTACACTACAAAGACGAACTACAACTTTCCATATCATTTCCTTTCCCTTCTTACACAGATGAGCTTATACAACTTTCTTCAGGCTCTGTATGGAAAAAGACCAAAGGAGGTGGAGTTTCCTCAAAGCAGCCCCAACTGGCAGTGCTATATAAGTGCACCACAGGATCCGATAGTGATATAAGCCTGTGAATTGATGACAAGTCTTTTTACTCATGTGCACCAACAGAAAAATAGACAGGATATATGCATTTGTGTTATACTAACATGCTATTTGATTTAATCAATCTGCCTGTCATCTTTACATTATAAATGCATGCTTAATGTTAGCCATTCCTAGTATACATGCAGATGGAGTCTTATTTCCTTTTGAAAATAGAACACAGATAAGAATGTAACATCTGCCATACTGGATTAGACCATGGTTCATTTTGCCCAGTATCCTGTCTCCAACATTGGTCTATACCACAGATTCAGAGGGAGCTTACAGAATAGGGTAATTTTGAAATGATCCACTCATCTTCTGCTCTGCGCTTTTGGTAGTAAAAGATTTAGAGTCTTCTTAAGCATGGTTGCGTCTCTGACCCATCTTGGCTAACAGCCACTGATGGATTTATCCGCTATGAGTACCTAGTTCTTTTTTCAAAACCCGGTCATTCTTTCTACCATCATATCATCCTATGACAATGAGTTCCACAGGTTAGCTATGTGAAAAAAAAAATACTTCCTCTTGTTTGTATTAAACCTACTGCCTATTAATTTCATCAGGTGACATGTGTGTGTTTGTGTTTTCTGGGAAAGGGTTAACTACACTTCTCTATTCACTTTTTCCACTGTATTCATAATTATTTAGAACTTAATCATCCCCCCACCTTCATCACCTCTCTTCTAAACTGAACAGCCCATATCTTCTCTCCTTGTAAGGAGGCTATTCCAAAACCTTCAGAATCTTTGTTGCCCTTCTCTGAACCTTTTCCAGCTCTACTATATTCTTTCTGAGATAAGGGGACCAGAACTGGACACAGGATTCAAGGTGTAGGTACACTTTGGATAACTAATTATTTAGTACATCATTTGTTCGCCTATCTCCCAGGAGTGCTTTCATGAGAGAGGGGCAGTAACTGTGGTGCTATCTTGACTCTCTCTTTTCTTCTCACACAGAGAACACACTCACAGCAGCCAGCTCATTGATCTGAACTGTGTGGCTAAGAGTTTCATGGATCAGGATTCCCCGTAGTTTAAATCCCTTGAATCCTAGCTATTAAAGGATGAATAGGCTTGTGACTATGGCACTGAACTGGGACTCAAGATCTGAGCTCCTTCTTGGCTCTGCCATAGGCTGTCTGCGAGACCTTGGCCAAATCACTTAATTTGGCTGACCTAAAGCTTCTTGTCTGTGAAATGGAGAAAACAGTACTTCTCTTCTTCACAGGGGTATTGCAAATCTGATTCACTAACATCTACGTATTGCTCAGGAATTAAAGTGATAAGTGCCATAAAAATACAACTAATATAACTCCCTACATTTTTATACTGTGGCCATGCATTATACTCCTGTATCATACATGCCCAGCTTTTGATCCCAATATCTCCTTGCCCCCAAACAGTTTTGAACAAATATTAGGCAAATTAAAATGTTGTGCCTGTCAAGCTCATCAGTGCCCTGTGTACTTGAAATCTGGTCAAGATGAAAAAAGGAGTTAGTTCTTGGATCCACCCACCTTTGCAATGCACTTCTACAATCACATATTCATTGTAGGTGTCTTTCTTTCTCCTGCTGCTGTAAGAAAGACCCAAGCAAACAAGAAACTCACCAACTAAACTTCCTATCCTGCACATACATGGAACCCCCTTATCCTCATGGATCAGCTTGCGGTTTGAAGCTTTACTGATCACACAGGGGAAACAGGGAAACTGCATGGCACAGGGTGCTCTAAAATGAACAAAGTATGCAAACTGGAAAAATAACATTTTTTCTCTGATCTATTTCCGTTATAAATAATCTCAGGTGCTACTCTACATAAAAACTTTCAGACAGAAGTGCGATTTTTATTTTAAGGTAACAGTATGTCTAACATTAAAAAAAGTAAAATATTGTAAGATAGGCTGAAAGATGTGGGAAATGAATTGCACTGCCAAGCATAAAACCTTAGCCCAGAAGCTTGATTCAACTTTACTAAAAATAGCATCCTTCAGTTTCAAGGACCTCTCTGATCAATTGGGCCACACCCATTGCTAACTACTTCATCACATTTCTGGAGACATGAGTTGCAACAAAAGTTGCTGGTCTCATCCTCTTGGCTGGAAATAATATCCAAATTTGGCAGACACTGTAATAAGCAGGAAAGGGGCAGACAGACAGCCGTTCTGGTGCTCTATTGCTCTTTATAACAGGTGGGATTTTTGCTTTTCAGAGCACCCAGCGGATTCAAATGCCATTGAAAGTTGCAAGAAAATAAGGGTGATATTCTACAAAGTCAAAAACAGTGACCAGAAGAAAGCGATACACTGTGCTGTGATTTATCATGTCATAATACCCATGACTACTTCAGAGTAACACAGGGTTGTGATATGACAATCAGCTACATACATCACACTAACCTGAGTGCAGTGTAGACTGCACTATGTTGGCCTGAGAGCTTCTCCCACTAAACTAGCTAGTGCTCATCCCTGGGGTGGATTTTTTAGGCTTCATCTACACTACAGCAGGGAAAAGGTTCTAGTGAAGACCCACCAAATTCACTGCATATCACTCTCCAGTCTCCCTTTTTATTCAACCCCAGATGAGAAGAGTAACGTAAGTCAATGGAAGACTTTCTCCCATTGACACCCGCAGCATACACCCTGCAGTAACTCAAACTATGGTACTTCAACTCCTGCTATGTTATTCAGTAGTTGAGACATCTAATCAGTCAGGGGCAGTGTGTGGGGGAGTCACATTAAGGGGAAAGGGCAAAATGCCAGCAGCCGGCCCAGCCAGGGGTAACTGCCCTGACTCCTGTGCTTTGGAAGGCCCCATGGAGCACAGCACAGTCAGGCGGATTAGTGGGGAGGCTTAGCACCAGCAATATGGGTCAGACCCACCCCCACAGGCATGAGGCAGTGAAAAGTAGAGTGACCTAATCCGAGCCCACTCTATTCCCCTGGCTCTGAGCTGCATCATTTGGGGTGGGGGTGGAGGAAAAGGTGGAACTGTTCCCCAAACTGACAGGTGGCTGGAAACACAGTGTGGGGGTGGAGTGGTGCAGGCTGGGCCCAGATTGTTCTGGTTTCCCCTGCCAGTAAGTGTATGGGAAGTCCCACACTCCTGCGGCTGGTGCCAGGTCCCTGCTAGTCCCCCAGGCCACGCTGCTCAGGGTAGGGGGCTTGAGAGAAGAGGTAGAGGGAGGCAGGGAGAGACAAGAGTGGGGGGAGAGAGAAGGATGGAGAGGAGTGGGGGCAGGGCCTCCCCTAGGCTAGGGAGAGCAAGGAGACCAGTCTCCTGGCCAGAGCGTGCCCCTTCCCCCCGCAGCAGTCGCCCCTGAGCTCAGCCAGGAAAGCTCTTCCCCTTCCGCACTGGGGGTCTTCGCCAGAGGTGCCAGCTGTGCGCGGGCAGCGCCTCGAGTGCAGATTAGCTCTTATCGGTTCGCCCCCAGGCTGAGCCCGTCTGCAGTGCCACGCGCGCCCTCTGCCCGCACACCAATGGAGTCGCCACAGTTTGGGGAGTCCGGGCAAAAACTTGGCGAGCGCCGCTCCCCTGGCTGGGAGACCAAAAGGCGCTGCACGCGGCGGCCGAGGAGACACCACGCCGAGGGCCTTACCTTCTGCACCACTCCCTGCAGGGTGTGAGCCAGCTCCTCTCGCTGCCGCGCGGAGCCCTCCTGGCGCAGGCTGAGCTGGCTGACCTCGCCCAGGAGGTGCTGCACGCCCCAGCCCGAGAACACGGCGGCTGCGAACAGAGCAAGCAAGAAGAGAAAGTTAAAAGTCCTGCCCAGGCTGCAGGCGGACGGGCGGCCTCCCACCGCCGCTTTGCTGCCCTTGGCGGGGACGCC